AAGTACCAACACATGTATGAAAACATTCAATTTTTTAAAAAATATTTAGTAAAGGGTCTACAGGGTCTCCCTGCATAGCTCTAACTGATAGTGATGGTCCTGCTTTCAGCCTCCCAAGTGCTAGAATTACAGGCATGCCCCCCACACCCAGTCTCAACCCCGGCCCCTGTGCTCTGCCTAAGCAGGCGCTTTAGTCAGCTGAGCTATCTGGCTGGCCCTAACATTTAATCTTATTAGTAAAAAAGGAACTGTACATTACTAAAGCACTGAGATATTTCAAATGCTGACAAAAACTTAGAAGTCTGCAAATACCAACAGGGGGAAGAAGGGAAGGAAACTCATACTCTGGTGTAAATATAAGTGAAAGTGCCACTTTGAAGATGCCTACATCTTACATTGCAGTAATTCCACTTCTAGTGAACAATTCACTGAAACTTGTATACAAGAAAAACAAGTATTACCAGAATATTCACTGCAAAATGACAGAAAAATCACAAACTATATACCTACTGCTAAAAAATGACTGAATAAAATGCAGCACTTTTTCATAACGGCATACTAATCCAGCTAAAGTGAACAAATTAGCAGGACAGAGATCAAAATGTATTGTCTCCAAGGCTGGGGAGATAGCTAAATGGCCTAAGTACCTGCCTGACAAGCTCAAGGTCCTGAGTTTGATCCCTGGTATTTAAAAAAAAAAAAAAAAAAAGGAATAAAGAAAAAGAAAAAAACCCATAATGTATCATCTCATAAGCAAAACTAAGTGAAAAGCAAGATAGAGAATGACCCCCCTCCCCTGGGTCTGGGGAGATAGCTCAGGAGAATACGCACTTGCCTGGCAAGCGCAAGGTCCTGAGTTCAATCCCCAGTACCAGAAAAAAAAAAAAAAAAAAGAAAAACAATGATCCCATTTACATGCATCTTTTTATATCTCCAACACTGCAAGTTTTATGGATATAGATATTTAGTAACAGTATAAGATATTTGGAAGAATGATAAATATGAGAAGAGTTAAATCTGAGAACAGAGATGGGAGAAGAACATGGAAAGGAATGAAGGAAGTATCAGTTATATCTTTTATACCAGATACAGAGAGCTGTAGACATATTCAAAATAATGTTAAGACTTTAGGGTATTTAGGTTGTGACTACATGGGTATTTGTTATTTTCTACACATCTGTATCTTTGAAAAATAACATACACTTCCTTAAAAGGAAACACATTTTTAAAATGAACGCTGCAGTTTTAACATCAATACATATCAAAAATAAAACATTAAGTTTGAGGTGAAGCTGAAAAAACACTGTATGGCATCATTTATATGTTATGTCCAACAAAAGCTTTTAGGCTGGGAATAGTGGTGCATGCCTGTAATCCCGATCTCCAGGGAGGTCAAGGCAGGCAGATGGAAAACTTGAAGCCAGTCTGGGCAACCTGGTGAGATCTTGTCTCAAAATTGTTTTATAACTACGTACATATTGGTATATAGACTAAATCTGTACTTTTTTTTTTTTTTTCCTTTTCTAGGCAGTTCTAGGAATCAAATTCAGGACCTCATGCCTGCTGGGCAGGCACTCAGCCACTAAAAGGTACATTCAGACCTTTCGTGAAATTTTGAGACAAGGTCTTGCTAATTTGTTCAGGCTTGCCTTCAACTTGTGACTTTCCTACCTCAGCCTCCTGAGCAGCTGCAATTACAAGACTGTGCCACCACAGTCAGCTGTTATTATTATTATTTTTTAATATGAAGGAAATACTCCATTTGCTTGGTACTGGATTTTTAAAAAAAAATTATTCAGATATTATATAAGCATAAAAATAGCAGTAGTAAAAATAACAAAAAGAGTAAGAATAGCGCTAATATTTGAGCACTTATTATATAGTAGGTACTCATCTAAGTGTTTTTATTCCTGAAAATAATCTGAGATGTGTTCTATACTATTTTCTTTTTTTGGTGGTACCAGGCCCTTGCACTTGCCGGGCAAGCACTTATTCCACTGAGCTACCTCTCCCGCCCTACTTTCATTTTACAGATGAACAGAGAACAGAGACGTGAAGTCGATCTAAGATTATAAAGCTAGTAGATGGTGTAAGCTATAAAGCTAGGATCCTTGCTCCAGAGTTTAATGTCTGTGTTACTATATCATTCCTTCCTCTTTTATGTATGTTGAAATATTTCATGAAATGCTTTTAATCTATGGCTATAAGGAAAAACATACATACATAAATACATTTCTATATCTCAAACTGGTTCCCAAAGATGCTAAAATAATTCATTTTTTTGGGCGGAACCAGGGATTGAACTGAGGCCCTTGCGCTTACCAGGGAAGTGCTTATTCCACTGAGCCATCTCTCCGGCCCCATTTTTTTTTTTTTTTTTTTTTTTTTTTTTTTT